CGCCCGCAGTGGGGACAGAGCCGCCGGCTGCAGGAAACAGGCTGCACACAGCCTGGGGGGGCCGCAGACCTGCCAGGGGAGCAGGGGCTGCTGCGAGGAGACGGTGGCCCGGCGCTCAGAACGTGAGCACGGACGGGGCAGGTGAGGGCAGGAAGTGGGCAATGGCGGCCTGAGAAGGGCCAGCCTTGTGGGACCAAGAGCGCATCTCTTGGGCTGTGTCCTGGCAGCGGACCCCCAGGGACAGATGCCACCTGTTCCAGTGACAATGGGTGCCTGCCTCCCAGGGGCTGCGGTCCCACCTCCTGCCCCCATGGGGACAGGTGGGAACACCCTGGTAGACTCCAGGGGCCCTGGGGCGTGCAGCTCGGCAAGGCCTGGACGGCTGGAGTGGCCCCAGGAAGGCAGTGTTTGCTGGGGACGGGAACAGCAAGGTCAGGTGGACAAACCCCACACCCACGCTCCTGGCTCAGTAGGAGCCTTGAGAGGGAGGGGCACCAGGACAGGAGACAGCGTTCACACACCTGCGCCCTGTGCTCACAGGCTCGCTGGGGAGCGGGAGAAGGGCAACTGCGGGAGGCAGCTGAAGGGTGCCGCGCACGGCTCCTCCTGCAGCTCCTCCCGCAGCGTGTGAACAGCCAAGCTTCCCCTGAGCTGTGCCAGAGGCGCCAGGGCCATGGGGGACGCTGCCTGGCACACCTGCTCCCCTGGAATCCAGCCCCACAGGCCGAGGAGCACTGTGCAGGGGGAGAACCCACTGCTCCGCTGGGCACACTGTGGACAGTGATGTAACCGCACGTGTGGGCAGAGCGGGGCTGCCCAGCGTTTTCGTTACCGCCTGCACCCCCCTCCTCGGGCTGCTGGGAGGCGCTCACGAGGCTGTGAGGACACTGCCACACACTCGGTGTCCCTCCCGCCTGCCCCATGGCGGTCAGAGGGCACGGGGGCGCTGACTCCTGTCTCAGCACCCCCCTCCCTCCCCACCATGGTGGGGCCTCCCCGGCACGGTGGTGGGGCATGGCAGACACGGGAAAGGTTTGTGGGACGTGCCACGGGACGGGCTCGGGACCCACAGGCGGCAGAGCCCTTTGTCCATGGCACCCAGGGGGGCAGTGCCCCGGCAGGGCTGACTGTGCCTGTGCCTGAGCCTGGGACACAAGTGTTGCTGAGCGGCCCTCACCTGGCCTGCGAGCACAGGTGCTTGGGCCAAACTACATCGGGTCCTAAGTTTTTCCTCCCAAGAAGGGGGATCTGCTCTTCCTGCCAGTTCTCTCAGATGCCAGTGCTGAGCCCACCCAGGCCTCCCACGCACTGGACGGACAGGCCACCCGACGGGCGTGCACGGCCTGTGACGCGGGAGGACAGGGCCAGGCTCCCACAGGCGACGTCACCTGAGCCCCGCCCCCTGCAGGTCCCTCAGGTCTCCAGCCCCTGGTGCGGGCATCTCCCAGGGCAGCGCTTCCTACTCCGAGGCTCAGGCTCACCGTGACCGTGCACCAGCGCCCAGCGCCTCTGCCCGCTCTCGGCTGCTTGTGCGGCGTCCTGTGCTACCCAGGCACCGTGAGAGACAGGGAACGCGGGCAGAGGGACTGTCGATTCCCACGCGTGTGGGGAAGTCCAGATTCAGGCCAGAAGGCCGGCTGTGTGCTCACTGGCCCAGAGGCTGCGTCCTCACTCAGTCCATCACTCAGTCCCTGCTCCCCTGGCAGGTGGCTCTGGAGCGGGAGGGGCTGATGAGGCTGAGCTGGCTGGGAGGCCAGGCCGCAGGCAGGCCCTCCCTCCCCTGGAGGTGCCCTGGCTGGGCCACCAGCGTCCGAGGGCACTTTGTGTTCTTAATCTCCTTCCAGTAACAGAGCTGGGTGAAGGGCAGGGGCAGGACTGAGCAGAGGCCCGAGGGCTCCGGCCCAGGTCAGCAGGGGCTGCAGGGCGCCCGCCCGGGGGAGAGGCCCTGACTGCCAGCCACTGTGGTGGTGAGCCAGTGGGGGCCGAGCCCCAGGAGCAGCCTGGGCAAGTGGCCCGGTGCTCAGACTCCTCAGGGACGGGTCTGTGGCCCCGACATCCCTGCTGCGCTGGCCTTCCTAGCCTGGCCCTCGGGCTCTGGGTAGCACCTGCGGCGACACTTGACTTTCATGGAGCTTCCTTGTTAAAAGGACCCGTTTCTGGGGTCCCCAGCTCTCTGGGGACCTGCAGGCCTGGGGCTCTGGCTCCAGGTGACGACTAACCTCCCTGCTCTCCCCACAGCCAGCCGCCCCAGCGCCATGTGGAGCTGCGGTCCGCTCAACGGCACGGGTCGGGGCGAGGACCAGCCCCTCTGCCAGCACTCCCAGCTGGTGCTGTCCGCCTTCTCCCTGCTCTACCTGGAGGTGGG